ATAGCCCCTAATTTTTGCTGTACGCATGTCCACCCCAGCACACAATCGACAATGTTTTCCCTTTCTGTGATCACGAAAATGTCACATTCGCTTAAACTATCTGCTTTCCTTAAGAGGTATGTCATATAGCCCGATTGGCACCTTAGCATCTCAAGACATTGACCATTGACCAGTAGCCTATCAACCAGGTCATTTAGTCTCGCTGTGAACTCCTACGCAGAAATGCGGGCTATGCCAAAAGTTTTTGGCCACATTCGATGGGCCATTTGTTACAGTCGGATCCTGCTACAACGAAACTGACGAGGTGCAGAAAAAAATTTTGTTGAAGCGAAAATTTTGTTGTAGTGAAATCTAAAAAGTATAGCTAATCTGAGCTAGCAAAATAAAGCAACGTTTATTGTCAAAATTCAAAAATGTGTCCGCTGCTTCCTATTCTTTCACAGCAGTGCCACGATGCGATTCTTACCCATGCATAGTGAGGCCATGGTGAAAAGTACGCTGAAACAAGGCCTATAACTGCTTTCGTTAACGAACCAAACAGCTGCATTAGCACGTTCACACCAGCAGCTGTCTGCCGTCAAATTGTATCCGACAACACCGAGATGGAGGCATGGTATCGTGGAGCAGTGACTTTTGCCTTATTCTGTGCCATTCTTGCATCCAGCACTCACAGCTATCTGATTTTGTTGATAATGCAGATGAAGAGCTGCTCTGATTAGTTACCACAATGGCCAAGCGCGAACAAAATGATACGCATTGGCATCAAAAAAGGCATCGTTTCGCACAGCTGCGTAAAAGAAAACCATAAACTAAGCGACTGAGCTTGAGCTTTGGATTGTCTGCGGCTCAAAAGCAAGCCAGTGGCAAAAGCAGGGCAGTCTCATTACCCTCACTTTCGAGCAGTGGCGGCACCCATGCTTCCTGAAGGGCGGCGGTCTGAGCCTGGTATTGCGTTGTGAAATTTCATTGAAGCGAAACGGCAGAAGAAAAAGTGTTCTTTGTGGCGACATTATTTATGCATTGACTCCTATGGACTGCCGACTGGGAACCGTGAATTTTACGTTGTAGCGGAAATTTCGTTGATGGGGTCTTCATTGTAGCGAAGTTCGACTATTATCACCAGACTCACAGAGGTCACCTACATCATGACTCGTCTTGCGACGAGTGGTAGACGAGCTTTCAAGACTCCAGTGGTCCTGACATCTACCGTATTTACTCGCATAATCCTTGTACTTTTTTTGGTGGAAAACGGGTGCAAAGTTGGGGGTGCGAGAATTACGCGAGAAAAACTTTTCACGAAAACCTACAGAGCGAAAAACAACAACAAAAAAACGAAATGGCCGCAAATCAGGATTCTCACACCAGCAACTAACAGCAAGCTTTGAGAAGTACGAATTGAAATTGACCTCAGTAATAAAAGCAGAGGCTCAACACAAGGCAAGATTTGTTCGAGACACAACAAGTGCAATCAAATAGTCGAGAATTAGAATACCATACGCAAAGCTTGTGTGCATTGTGGGCGTAGCAGTAGCGTTCGTCGCTCAACAGGAGCCCTCAAAAGGTAAGCTTAGCATGTCAGTACTGGGCTGATGGTTTTTTAACAGAATTGCCCGCAGTTTCCTTCTGAAGAAATAAAGTTTACCATCAATCTCAGTCTTAAGCACGCGGCAGGCCCAACGCGTCTTGGTGGCTTTCAGCTGCCGTCACCAGTAGCGAATACAAAACTCGTCGACTCTGAAGGGTCTACCGGTGGCCCTGTTTGTTTGGTGCACGATCAATCACTTTCAACCTGAAAGCAACCGTGTTGCTTCAGTATCGCCCCACAACGTGACAAGATTACCGACACAACATACAAAACACGCCGCAAGGTGCACTGCCGCTTTGGCTTGGCTTGGATTAGATTGAATCTCCGTGCAATAATAGTACGCCTGATGCTTAAGAGATGACGCCAGATGGCGTGCGCTAGCATCTTCAACGGCTGGAACGAGCAGAGGACATTATTGTGGCAATTTTCGGGGGTGCGATTATTACTTGAGGAAAACAATATCGTATTTTTGTTGGGAGATGTGGGGGGTGTGAGAATTATGCGAGTGCGAGGATTACGCGAGTAAATACGTTACTTGAAATTGTTTACGCTTCGACACTTGGACGGGCTCGCCCAGCGGCCTCCATCTGTGATGAGACGAATCTTACACATAAGAGAAAAGCAAACAGAACCAATGCACGGGCTTGCCACTCTAAGGCAGCTCAAAGGACGACAACGAAACTGGCAGATGCAACCTGTTGGCTGCTCCAGTGCTCACCTTCACAACCTAATAAATGGCCTCATCAGTCATATACGTCCTGGTGTCCTTCGCGTGTAATAATATTTCATCCAGAAGTACTACCGCACTTACTCGAATCTAGGCCGACCCCAATTCTAAACCGACCCCCAAAAGTCCGTAACCCCCCCCCCCCCCCCCCCCCCCGAAAAAAATCTTACCTCAAATGTTGGCCGGGTAAAAATCAAAGACAGCATTCACAAAGAGAAAACATTCATTAAAAATATGAAGATGAAAAGGAGCAGTAGGTTCATCATCAAGATGCCAGGCTCATTCCGAGTCGTCGTTGCTGATCTCTTTGTCGTTGTCCTCAAACAGTGCACAATATCGTTGCCATCAAGCGCATTTGAGGTGCAACACTTGTTGAAAGAGCACACGATCAGAGTTTCTGTGATGTCGTCCTATGCTACAGCCACCCAGTTTGCCAACTGAGACAGTGATACTCGCTTGATGTGGACCATCGATGTCAGCTGGTGGTCCTCGGTGCTTTACCACTCCGTGTATAATCCCCGAAGGCGATCCTTGAATGGCTTATTAATGTTAACATCAAATGGCTGTAATTGGCCCGTCATTCCACCTGGTATCATGGCAAGGTCTGTGTCCATTTCTGTCAGTGCTGCCTTGACGCTGTCGGTAAGTGTTCGCGGTACGTGTCCAGCACGAAGAAAGAATGCTTGCTCAAAAGGGCGCCTGGATGCCACAGCCATACGATATTCAGCCATTCCTTGACCATAGCACTGGTCATCCAGCCATTCTCGTTGGCCCGCACAATGACGTTTCGCGGGCAGCGCAGCTTTGGCCGGCAGCGTCTTCCTCTTGAAAACTCTATAAAGAGGAAACTTGTGCCCGTCTGCTTTTCAGCACAGAATCACAGCCGCACGCTGCTTTTCATAGCACGCAGAGCACACATTCACTTCCTTGGTCCCTTTCTCTAAGACTGTCTTCGCCACGGGCATATTAAAATACATCGGTGTTTGGGTCGCGTTGCCCATTTGGCCTAGCTGATATTCTCTCGCTGCTCTCTTCCGAAGCATGAAAGGCTGGAACTCCAGCAACTTCTCTTCATAGTCAGCCGGTAGCCTTTAGGTGATTGAGGTACAACGACAGAGGCTGAAGCCAAAGCGCTTCATGAATTTCTGCAGCCAGTCTCGGCTGGCTTTTAAGTCTGCCGCTAAAACACCTTGCTCCATTGAAAGCTCCCTTGCTTTCGCCTGGAACACTTACATTGTCACTGAAAGAGTAGCTGCTCGCTGCGTCCAAACGAAGTTGGTCAATGCCGTCTCTATTTCAGGGTGACAGCTTTTCTGTGGACCGCTAAAAGCCATCCTCGTTGCGGCGCACGCGAAGAGCTTCTCCCATTAGCCCCTCCAGCGACGAACATTGTTTTCATCCACTCCCATGTCCTGCCTGGCTTGGAACGTTTGAGGACGACTTCGCGGCTAACACAACTTTCCTTTTATACGCCGCGCCATAATGAATACGCATGTTTGGCACCATTGAGCTACGCCACACACAGCCCACTTGAAGCGAGACTTAAACTGACATACGGCTTACCTCAACACTCGCCACAAAAATAAAAATGGCGACCGTGCGTGCATACTTAAGCCAGGCGTTGGTTTGGCTACTTATGGCTACAATACTGGTAAAGTGGCACTAGTTTTGCATCACTTTTTTTGACCAAAAGTGACATGTTTTTCAAAATCTTTAAATCTAAGCCGACCCTAGAGTTTGATACAAATAAATTCCTAGAAAACTATCGGTCTAGATTTGGTATATAAGAGCCTTAAAATACAGTATATAAGAGCTTTAAGCAAGCTCCGCCGCAGTGGTCTAGTGGCTCTGCTGCTGACCTACAGGTCGCGAGATCGATTCCCGGCTGTGGCGACTGCATTTTTGATGCAGGCGAAAATGCTGTAGGCCCGTGTGCTCAGATTTGGGTGCACGTTGAAGAACCCCAGGTCGTCAATTTCTGGCCCCCTATATTACGGCATCACTCGTAATAATACGGTGATTTTGGGACAAACCCCACACATTAATATCAAGAACTTTAGGTAATAAAAATGTTTAATCTATCATTAGCTCAATGATCGTTGTGTGTTCATTTCCATTAGTGCGCAGAAATGGAAAATGTAAGTCGCATGTACAAATGTACAAGCTGTGTTGCAAAAGGTTAGGAGGAGCAGTGGTATGACAGCACTCAGCAGCACCCCATGGCAAACCTCATTTAAATTAGGTTTCCTAGAGGCTGCTGCTGCGTGCTGTAGCAAGTATATTGAAATATAGAAGGCTCACTGGAAGAGGGCGGAATCAAGTTTAAGTAGCATTGGTGCTCTACATGCCTGCAACCATTTTGTAACTGTTGCCTGCCAAAGTTGATCAGTGGATATATTATGATAATGCTAAGGTCAAAGCCTCAGTTTTGATCACAGTAGCGGCATTATTAAAGATGTGTAATGCAAGAATGCTGTTTGTGCATGTTTACATGTTTATTGAACTAGGGGGCCAAGGGGAATCATGTGTCCCCACTACAGTGTGCCTCTTAATCATATTGTAGTTTTTAACTGTAAAATCAGTGAAACTGAATCATCATCTTGCAATTTATAGTGATGTAAACTCTTGTAGTTACAGTCACGTAATTTCAAGGAGTGCTGAAGTTATGCACCTATGTTATTTTTCCAGGTTGATCCAGCCAAAGTTAGTGGCGGTAGTGGCGCCTTGCAGCGGCAGCAAGCTTTGTTACGACAGAGAGTCCAGCAAGCATGGCAACGTATTACTCAATCTGCGCATTCATTTCCAAGGTAATGAATTACAGGCATTGTTAGATTTATGACATGCAAACCATAAATAGAAGCAAAAGATTGAGTAAATGCTTGTTTTTTCTGATGAAGGGACCTTCGCGTGCTATTTCATGGCTACCGGCAACGACTTGGAGGTAGTACCCGTGAAGAGGAGCTCTGTGACAATCTTATCAGTGGTTCCATCTTTCTGCGGTGCCTGTGTCCTGCCATTTTGTCTCCGAGTCTTTTTGGCCTTGCACCAGGTGAGCCATACAGAAGCACTGTTTTAACACAATAGTGTTAAAGAGCTCGTTTCACAGAAATTTTGGTGTCAGTGTTGGTATAAATATTATTGATTGTGAGCAAATAATTGTCATATTGTCTGTGACTGAAAAATCGAGAAAGATGCAAATAAAATATTAAAATATTCAGTCTGAGTTAGAATTGAAGCCAGGCTGTCTCTTACCACGAACCTGCACTATTGCTTCAAACTGCTTTAAAAAAGAACACTATATGAATATTGTGTAGGGGAATATTGCATGGCAGAAGCGTAGAGTTGCACCAGGCATTAAAACATGTGGCTTGTGTGAGTGGGTCTTCTAAAGGTACACCCATTACAAAGTGCTCAGACATATTTAGTCACCATTTGCTGTAAAAGCCTCAACAATGTGAGCAGCTGTTTAGGTTAGTGTTTTGTTTTACAGACTTGTACAATAGGCCTTTCGTACAATAGGCATTTCGCTGATTGGCAAACAGAAAAATTATGCCGTAGTTGGGCATTTAACAAGAGTACTTACACTAGGCATCATAGGATAGTTTGAAACTGCCGATGTTTCGCACACAGTTGTTCATTCTTTTGTGGAATACAGTCGAGCCCACACATAACGGCCCCACTTAAAACGAACTTTCGCTTAAAAAGAACAATATTCGTGTGACTGTGAAAATATACATTGGTTCAATGGAACAAGATCGCACTTACAACGAACATCTCCGAGCGCTGATCAGTTACAGCGAACTGAGTCGGCAGTCTGCCGACTTCCCGGGAACCCAATTTCGACCACCGATCAGGCATCGGCGAGGTGCCCATACATTCTTATTGTTAAACGCCGACCCTGCCTCAGCATCCCTCTAGTTGCTGCTTTTCCCGACCGCTTTTGTTACGCATTCCTCCGTCCTACTCTAGGCATTCCGCATCGCCAGACGAGGCCCGTGTTTTCACACTGCCACCGATCTTTCGAAGACCGGTCGGCCGTTTACCCCGTTTTTGATTGCTGGTACTGTTGTTGACGTCGTCGACCTGGAGTGACCAGACCATTTGCCAAAATCGTCGGCCACCGACTGTATCCGATAGTCTGCGTCTAGTGCACGCACGTGCGCTACCCCACCGACTCTGATAACTTGCGATTCGTTTCATCTCTAGGACTTGTTCTCGCTCACTTCACACTCGGCTCAGCATGCCTTCCCCGCGCATGCGGAAGCATGAAAACGGCTGTTGATTTGCGCGGAACGAATTGCAAAATATCGAAGTTCGTGAGGCCACGCACACCAGCTGGCGCAACAAAACGATTTTTGACCACGGCCGCCCATTCTTCGAACACCACCGCGCGCACCGATTCAGGCGGCCATGCACTCTTTCCAAATTTTTCTACGTGCGAGTTTCACGGACCTTTCAAGCAAGCTACCCAACCTGCGTCCTTCCCGTGTGTTTTGGTTTTCAAGGTCCCCCTCCCGCCGCATCCTCCCCTCTCTTGATCTCAACCCCCTTCGCCCGTCTCCACCGTTCCGCGACACCCGCCACGCTGGCCCGAATTAGTTTCGTTTTCTGTCTGAAAACGGGCCCAGAGCTGTTCCACGCGTTCTGGCATGTTTGTCGTATGTGCGCGTCTTGCTCGCTCTAGGTGTGCGTGTGTGGCCATGATGGCCGACGGGAGGACTAACACGCTTTTTCCTGCCGCTCAACGAAACGTCGAAAGTGTGACCGCTTGGCTTGAGCGTAATCCGCGCGTTAGGTACCGCGTTGCGGAGCACTTGCTCATAGCTGTTGACCACCTGGCAGCCAACTTGCCGCTTCGGGCGTCCCGGTATGCAGCTGTGGAGATGGTGAATATTTCGTGGGTGGCGGTGACAGCTACATGCGTGCGAAATTGTTTTAGAGCGGGTTGAACATCTGTTGCGATGGTTTAATTACGGCCGATAATGATGCCGACACTGCAGAATTGTGCACGGATTAGGGCATTGTGAATGAAGTATGTGGCGAGAGCGATTTGGAGGATTCGGATTGTGAACGACGAAACTGGATTCAGTGCCTCATGCAGCTTATGCCACGGGCCTCGGGGAATGAGCACCCTGCGTTTACAAATGAACTCGAGACCACCCTTATCGCTTCTGCTATTCGAAACACGTGCATCACGGACTTTTTGGGACATAAAAAGTTTGTGTTTTCACACGCAACTTTTTTTTAAAAGCTGTGTTTCATTTACTACGAACTTCGGGATACAGCGAACGGATGCTTGGTCATGCTCAGGTTCTCTATAAGCGGGCTCGACTGTAGTTGAGGCATGCACCGAGAACAGAAGCCAGGCTAGCAGTTGAGAAGGCGATTTGCACAAGGCCCGATTACGCTATTGCATTCTACTCTTAAAGAGAAAGCTCAAGTGCCATATAAGTTCTTGACACCTACAAATAAAATCTAATATACTGGAATACCTTTAATTTTTTTTCTTTTCATTTTACTTGACAGCTTATTACGTTCCGTGGTGGTTCAGTTACACCATTTTGCTGCAATTCTATTTGCCTGCATCTAGCTGTGCCCATTCAAACGCAACTTTCAAAGTGCTACTTGCCCCAAAGTTAACAATTTTTTTTCTGTTTATATGGCAGAGGAGGTGCTTAGACTAAATTCTTCTTGGTCTGACAACTGCATAACAACACAGCAGTTAGATGAAAAGTGACTATTGTTAATAAATGTAGCACTATGTTCTAGGAATGTGCAAACATTCGAACTTTCTAATATTTTTTTAGTGGTGATTGCCATTCAGTTGGATTGGCACCGGAGTTTGACTGTTTTAAAGTATCTGAACTTCGTGAAGATAAACGCAGTCGTCATATTTTTCTGACTTCTCAGGAACCATGAAAGCATCCTTATGATGAGGAAGTGAGAAAAAACTAATTTATGATTTTTGTTCTGCTGAAACACTCAAATTGCCTCAGCTATGTCTGAAATAGCCATAATGCCTCCTAATAAATTTGTGAGGCATTTTGGTACACACATCACAACTGCGCTTTCTGCTCGAAGTCGCACGTGCCTAGGCCTAACTCAGCCCCGAACTTGGCGGGCAAGACCGTCGCGCTAGCTGATATGCGAAAGCGCAAAAGCCATAATGTGCTTCATCGCAAGCAACGAATCATATTGGCCACTGGCTAGGTACTTAGAACCACGAATAGGCATCTTGCCGGTCTGTAGCGGACCCCGGCCAAGTTCGCCAAGCACCGACTCCTCGTTACAGTGGTGGCAGCGGTCGGCGATTTCACTTGTCAGCACCTCAACGCGCAAAACCAATCATGCTGCGCTCTGATTTTTTTTGTTTCCGTAGTTGGGCATAACTAACAATTAACCAGCTGCATATCGGTGGCCTTCATTTTTAAATCAGTACTTCGATATTTGTGGCGCGCGGTTCCCGCCCCGAAGGCATGCTAAGTGATGTTTGAAGTCGAAAGTTATCGAAATTGAATTTCGTAGAAAAGTCCGCTGTGAGGGAGTCCTGACCATCTTGCTGGCCTAACATTTTGGTCAATTATATCTGAATATCTATTGTACCAGAATCCATTGTAAACGATGCTCAATCAATGGAACAAATAAAAAGGTCGGCATAACGCCGCAAATTAGTGTACAGTACTGTGAAACCTCGTTAAACTGTAGTTAGCCGGAGCTCGGAAAAAGTACGCACTAAATGGTAGTACTGCTTAATCGAAATAGCGTCATGTCGCTCACTTACCTGTCAAAAAAAAGAAACCTTCAGGGAGTGTGATGAAAGAACAAAAAAACGGGCAGTAATTTATTAACTTCGCGTGACAAAGTCTGTAATCTTCATTTGACGACGTGCCGGCCTCAAACTCACTTATGCTGTCAGCCAGCTTTTCCGCTAGCCCCCTCTTCTCGGCAGATACCCGCATGACGCTGACGCAATGCGCAGCTTCGGCCACTGTCGGACCTGGATCACCCGTGTTGTCGCTTTCCATGTCGTCCTCATCACTATCATTTGGCGACACTTCGACAACCGAGGCAACAATGGCTTCGTCGGACATGTCCGGAGATGTCTGCACATCGCTGTCTCTGAAGTCGGGAAAGGAAATGCCTTCCGTAACACCCTGGTGCTCCAGCACTTTAGCTAGCAGAGTTCGTCTACGATGTCCGAAGTCTGGTCGATGGTGTCACTGGCGTCATCTGCGTCGCCCGCACACACACTGGAGCCAGCACGCTTGAAGCAATTTTTAATTGTCGTTGCTTCAACCTACCGCCACGAGTATTCGAGCAAGTGAATCGCGCCAATCAGGTCGATGGAGAATAATTTGCCACATTCAATGGTGAGAAGAAATCTGCGCAGTGGATTCTTCTTGTAGAGCTGTTTTAAAGCTCGAATGATGCCTTGGTCCAAGGGCTGGGCAATCGCTGTTGTGTTTGGTGGCAGAAACGCCAACTTCACAGCCGTCAGGTTGTCCAGGGCGACGTGCGCCGAAGCGTTGTCTAAAATAATAACTCTTCTGTTCTTAGCCGCAAAACGACGATCGATGAGGCGCACGTACTCCTCAAAGAGTTTTGCCGTCATCCATGCTTTGGTGTTGCTGCGATAAATGACCCCTGATGGCAACCGGGCGCCTTTGAAACATCTAGGCTTCGCCGACTTTGCAATCACGAGGAGCGGAGTTTTGTCGGTCCCAGTCATGTTTACGCAAAACGCCACTGATATTCTGTCTTTTGCATGCTTGCCACCAGTGCACGTCTCGCCATTGAACGCGAGCGTTTTTTCTGGTAGCAGCTTAAAGAATAGCGCCGATTCATCCATAATAAAGATGTCATCAGGTGCGTAGTCTTCCAAGATGTTCTTCAGCTGACCATTTTGCCACTGCTCCGCGCCATGCACGTCAACAGCAGCACCTTCTCCCGAAACAGTCCTCGTGGTAATGCCGTGCCTCGCCTTAAATCTGGCCTGCCAGCCATTGCTGCACACGAAGTTGTCATGGTTGAGCTGCGAGGCAAAAACCAGGGCCTTCTCCACGAGTAGGGGTCAGCTGATAGGCAGATTTTTTGACCGTGCAGCTTTTAGGCACTTCACCAGCGCCTCCTCTACATTCGAAAATGCCGAACTGCGTAGCCGGCACCTTTTCGCAGTTGCAGCAGCACTGCCGAGCAACTTCTCTCTGGAATTCCAAATTCCACACACCGTGGTTAACGGTAGGTCCTTTTCACGTGCCAGCGCCAATTTTTTCGTGCCACTTTCAATAGCAGGAATTATGTCCGATTTCTCCTCTATTTTCAGCACTCGATGCTTTTGTCCCAGCTTCGGCATGACACAAGTACGAAGCAGCACAAGCACACATACACAACACATGAAAAACAATGCGAGAGTTGTACGGCACGGATCAACCAGAGAACACCTATGCACGGCGCCAAAGGAACAAAGAAAGCAAAGCAAGCGCACACCGTGTTTGCGTGTTTGTGCAAAGCGCCATCGCGTTGACAACACCAGAAGCCTAGCCGGCCGAGTGCTTCTTGTTGCAGAAAAATCCAAAAGATGGCGCTCACCAACACAGCCGCCATCATCATCAACAGAAACAAGTGAGGCGTGTTTCAATCTCTGGAGCTTGCTGTTCTGTCGGGACGCCCAGTGGGGGACGACATGCTGCGGCGAGTGCACAATGAAAATTGGAAAAACTACTTGTTAACCGATACATACGCGATAAGCTGGTACGGCTTATGCGGATACGAAATGCATTATGCTCAATGGCCGCCGAGTCGGGGATTTGACTTCACTACTTTTAAAACAAAACTACTGTTTACGTGGGTACGGTTTAACGAGGTTTCACTGTATCCGAATGCCTGTTGTAAGCAGATATGTTGGAACGAGGTGATACTGTATCCAGACAAGTCAACACAGGTTCAACTGAGTTTGCGAACTCTGCATCCTGCATGCTTCCGAAAGCACAGAAATCACTGTTTTAGTTGCTAGAGACAATGCACTCATCTTTGTTTATGTGTACCACAAACAGATGGGAGATCTGCCACTAGCATGTCACTGATTGCCATCTCCCGGTGATGTCACACTGCCAAGACACATTACAGAGAAGCCACCTCATCAATATCAAAATCAAGGGTTCTTCTAATGTAGTTTATTAAAAATATATGCGATGCATTCCTAAGCACCATAGTACTCTTTTTTTAGGGTTCTTTAAACCCGTGTTCTTTAGAGCAACAATACCGAAACGTTACATTAATAATTTGTGTCAATACTTCTTTAACTACCGTATTTGCACGTAAATAACGCGAGGGGTGTACTATAGGTCTTGACGAAAAAAAAAAGTTCATTATGATTATAGCGCGAGGTGATGCAACTCTAAACAGCAATCAGAGTGGTCGCCCACAGGGCTTTATTTATATTTACAGGCGTCGAAAATGCTATAATCACTGGCTTGCCTGATCATTCATCATCGCTGCTAGAGTCTTTGTCACTGTCAACAAAAACTGCATTGTCATCCATACCGTCCAGAGGCAGCACTTCAAGAATGTCCGTGACACTATTGCTGACGGCAAGGGCTCCCAAGCATTGTGTATCCATTGAGCGACCTCGCTGACTGAAGCTCGCTTCATGCGACCCGATGGAGTCGGTTGAGTCGATGGAGTCGATGCTGTATAGTTTGCTTCATTGTTTAGGCTCTGTGTGCAGAAAGCATTTTCTTTCTGCTTGTTCATTTGCATTTTCTGTGGGTGTTCTTTTTAATGTTGATGCCATGTTGCGGTGTTAACACCGAATTGAAAAATTATGGGAAACGCAAAACCAAATACAAAAATGTTTTTTATTTAGTTGTATTTCTTGCACGGCATTTTTCATGCTCCGTTCATCAGTGTTTCTTTATTCTTGTTTATATTTTTATTTGTATTGTAATCTCATTCTGATTGTTTTGGAATCGCATAGCATTAGGCTTCTTTAGTGCTGATATTGGTTTTGGCAGAGTGGTCGGTTGTTAGAGAATGAATTGCACTGTAGTAGTTTTCAACTTGTGTATTCCAGAATATCCAGATGAACGAGCTGCTCGTAGCTTGACACTGATAGCCAAGACGATTCAAACCCTCGCAAATTTCACAAGGTAAATTTTCATTCTGTATAGTAGGTACATGTTGTCAAGAACTCAGTAGCAAATGCATTTGAATAACAAATCTTCCAAAGTCGCATTGCTGCAAGTTTTGCTTTTTGTTGCTTTCTCAGGTATTCTGAAGAAGTCTTAGTGACACTGGCCGCTGAAATTTCACCAATTTAACCATGTAACTTTAGCAGTATAAGTAGGGCTTTGTGTTTTCAGATATCCTAAAAGATGCTATAAACACACTCTCATGAAATTTCTGATAATTCAGATTTATCCGAATTGTCAGAATTGTTGGATTTTACAATAGCATTTTTAATGTTTAAAGGACATTTCCGAAGTTGAGAATCATCAATCAAAGGGAGCGCACCTCCATCAGCAGCAGCAACTTCGTAAGGTATGCGTGCGCTTATTAGAAGCTCCGAGGTCATAATATGAAGAAATGTAGGTGCTTTATATTGAAGCATTTACAGCTGTATGTAAAGTGTTTGCAATTTCAAACCTTTCAGACAACTATAATACACCTCGTGTGTTCACATGCTTTTGTGTTCAGATATGATTTCATCTAAAATTTTGTGTATTGGGAATAATAATAATAAAAATAGATGTTTTATTTTTTAAAAAGAAGATAGCGAAGGCTAGGAGACAAAGACTAGAAGCAGATTTACTCGATCCTGATCCCATAAAAGTGCCCTTTGGCAATTTTACATCAGTGCACATCAACAGTTTTTATGAACAAGGTAAATGAACAAGAAGGGAGGAAAAATATATATATATAAAAGAGTGGAAAACAATATTATCAACAACGATGTAACACATTTATATTCGAAAGAAAATCAATAAGAAGACATTTGAACAACTTACAATGCAAAGCTAAACATTTAATTTCACCTGAAATAAACTGATAAATGCCCAATTTTACCCCAAAAAATTAACTCCGAAAAAACCCCTCTGAATTTCATGAAAAATAAAGTCGGGAAATAGGAGCCCTAACTATAAGGAAACATATTTAATCTATAATAAAAGTTGTGTGCACCAAGTTTAATGTACACTGTGATTTTGCTGCCTCGGATGTTCATCGCAAAAACTTTCCTCCTTTAGGTTCGCGCCCGTGTGTGATTGGTGCCTCATCGGCAGAAGAAACTCGATCTTCACTTTATTGCCACCGCAAGCCAATTAAACACCACGACTCTAAAGAGAAAAAAAAAAACGAGCTGGCATGTAAACATCAGCATCGCTTTTTGTGTATCGGCACCTCCCAGCAAATAGTTAATTCCAATTTTCTCCATTCTGGGGGGCAATAAATGAGCCAGTAATAAAGGGTAACAATTTGTGAGCAATAAGCAAATGCCGTCATTGCCAAGAAATTGCAACTGCGCACTTATGCACAATCGCATGTATGGGTGGTAGCTATGGCAGCCTAAACAAACCGCGAGTGAAAAAGCAAACCTAATTACAACAGTCCAAGGAGAAAGAAATTTATTGTATCTTCAAAGGGTGCCAGCACTTGCTTGTCTTGCTAGAACGGGTGGAAATATTCTTACAAAATATTCTCACAGGGGAAGCTTTGCTTACATGATTATCTAAATTTCCCCTGCAACACTTTTTGAACATGCTTAGTATTCACTGCAGATTAGTAGCCAAATCCCTTTTGAGTCGCGCGGCACACGGAATGGGCACTTTTATTTCAAGGACAGCCGAAAGTGGCTCGCTGTCCTTTGCTGATTTTATTGCGAATGGATCCTCAATAAAGTTTATATTGATAAATTGCCATTGAATGAACAATATATATAAAATTATCCCTCTTTGAAAACACCACAGTAAGTCCTTTTACTTTAGTTAGAGATCATTAGGAGAGGCATTAATCCTCTAGTCGACGTAAGACTGATGATGGTTATTGATACTTTTGGGAAACAACATCTAAAGAGCAACTCCATTTTGTTAGCTTGCACTGTTCTTACTCTGTGATGTTACACATGTATTTGCACAGGTTTGGTGGAAAAGAGAGCTTCATGGAGTTCATGAATGACTTCGTGGAAAAAGAATGGAGCACAATGAAGACTTTTCTCAAGGTTATTTCGGTGAGTGTCCAGGACTTTACACACATGTTAAACTTGTCTCCAGTCAGAAAAAGATTGCCTTAAGTTTGCGAGATGCTGACAGATAATTTGGTCTTAGCAGGAACCACGACATTTGTGGTGTCTGGACATCTCTCTTGCGTACATCTTTGCATGCCCCGTCTTTTAACATGTACCAATGGTTTGTGCGAATAGGGAATTTTATGTTTGAAGCAAATTCAAAGGAACTAGTGATTTTGGTCTAATAACTTCAAATCGAATTCGAATACTAAATGACATGTTATCAAAAAAAAATGGGCATATTTGTCGTGACCAAACTAATCTGCGCAACATCTTTTTCAAATGTGAAACGAGGCCTGTGTAATCTTTTTTTTTCCAAAGAAAGTGAGAACAACTTTGAATAGTAGCAGTAGTAGTAAACAACTTTATTAAGGCAGCTGACGGTTTCTTAAGGGGCGAGGGCTGGTCAGGCCATGCCTGGTCGCCACCTCGTCAGGGCGTTTGATGGCCCGGAACTAAGTGTCCAGGCTTGTGGTCGTGAGGATTCTCTCTCAGGCCTCACTTGATGGTGACTGTCTTGGGAAGTTTGGTGGAGGAGGTTCCTTGCTGCATCCCTAGATGATGTGGTCCAAGGTTGCGGTCTGTGTCTTGCAAAGGGTGCACGTAGATGTGAATAAGGCAGAGTATATGTGTCTGTATATGTAGGGGAAAGGGAATGAGTTGGCTTGAAGCCGCTCGAAGTTATTTGTTGAGCTTTGTTTAGTTGTAGGTGCGGGGTTGGTCTGATTTGTCTTGATAGCGTGTAGTACTTCATGATGTCATGAAAGGTGATGAGTGGTTCGGTTGCTTCGGTATTGTGGTCCGAAGTCTGGCCCACCGCTGGGCGTACGAGTCCTCGAGCTTGTCTGTGGGCGGCTTCATTATCCGTATTTTCTGTGTGCGCTGGGACCCAGATGAGTTGGATTAAGCAGGGATCGTCACCGTCCGTGCTGCTCGCAGCAGTGTCGCCTGAGACGCGTGGCGCTTGGGGCAGAGGACAGAAGATGCGTGCCATGATTGGGGAAACAGTGCCACAGGCAAATCGGTTGATGGCAGATTTGGAGTCACTAATGATAGTTTGTGGTGTACACGTATCCCGAAGGAGTACGGCCACCAGCGTGGGTCCGGTCTTAGCGAGTCGCAGGGCACGCGTTAACCGTCGCCGTGGCGAGAACACGATACTGCTCAAAGTCGCAACACTTTATTGTGGCAACACCAAACGTAGTACAGCCCGTTGCAAAGGCGCGGCGAGAAAGCAAATAGGCTTATCCATGCCATGGGCACAAAGTACTACACAGGGTGCCACGAGCACGTCTCCGCGGTAAAGGTGATCCACGGAGACACCGGGACCAAAACCCGGTTGCTCGAACGAGGGCAAAGGCGCTCGCGTTGGCTTCGGAGGGAGACGGGTCAGCGTAGCCAGGCCACGCACTAGGACACCGTACCGCCCTTCCGGCCGTGCGTACGCAGCGGGGCAACAAAAGGTGAGCGTTCGCCTCGGGCGCGAGGCGCCGTCAGCGAAGTCCGACGAGCCCCGAGCGACGGGAGTCGACGGACGGAAAAGATTGCGTGGCTCACCGTTTGCTGTCCCGGAGAGTATCTGTCTGCTCCTGACGCAGCGCGCGAAAACCTCTCGGGAGGCTCCACGCGTGGCGCCACAGTCAGCATCCGCTACCGGGTGAGGGAGTTAAACGTCACTCCGCTCTCACAGCGCGGCAGACAGCAAAGGAGGGCAGACATGTCGGGACATGAGAACGGCAGAAAAGGCGGCAAAGCCCACGCAAAGGCAGCGGGCTAGCCTCAATTCCCACATCCCCCTCTCCTAAATTTGCCCTTTACCGGTCTGCAAAAGGCAGCCGGACGTCACCCATGCAGTTAAAATGACACTGCTATGAGCGCCAGCTAACCTCAGTCCAGCCCTGCTATTGCTGCTAAAAAAAATGATTACAAAGGAGAAACAAAAACATAAATAACAAAATAAACACATGACACTACAAAAGTAACTGCGGAAGGGAGCACAGAAAAGTGGGACTAGTGTTCGTGGTGCTGAAGCGGGATAGCGTCCACTGCGCAGAGGGGCGGAAGGGCGTGACAGTGTCCGCTGGTTGCGATGCCCGAGTGCGAGGTCAGAGGTTCGGGAGGGGGCTCACTGATGGCTCGTTGCTGCTCTTGATAAGCCGCGAGTCCGACGAACGCCGCCTCGGTTGTGGTTCGGAGGCCCCGCATTTTTCGCTCGATGACGGAGCTGGGACGTTGCGGGAAGCCGCGCCTCTCCATTATCAGGGAGGCCGAACCAGAATTGGCTGCGAGGCACCCTGGCGTTGGCCGGCAGCATATAGCTGCTTTCAGCTGGCCTCGCGCAGGAGCCATGGTGGGAAAGGCAGCAGGGCTTCTTTGGCGACAGCCGAGAGCAGAGCACAGCCAGACGGTCTGACGTCAGTGGGTCAGTGCCCGCCCAGCACCTCCAGTGTCCGTGTCGATGGGTGAAGCCATGACGCACTCTTCGCGGGCTCGCACGGAAGCATCACGCACTTACGCACGCACACACACACCGCCGACGGCTGCGCGAGCGTAGGCGCAAAGCGTCCTTCGTCTCACTCCCCCGGCAAGCACCGACGCTCAAGGTCACACACAGCTCCCTTCGTGGTAGACGTAATGAACACGGGAAAAAAAAGTAACAACAGAGCAAAATTACACTCAACATCTGGCAAAAAAAACATAAAATATAAATAACACTTATTATTAGACAAAAGAAACATAAAATACACATGAACACTTAAAAAAAAAAAAACACTGGCAGCAGACAGGGCGGGGTCAACTTCTTTACGAGAAAAGGTTGTAAAGAAGCTAACCTATACTGAGGCTAGAGAGTAAACTGAGGGCCTTCGGTTGCGGAGAAGTCCGCCGTCCGGCGCGAAATCACAAAGGTGACCGCTTCCTCAGATTATACCGGTGCGGGCCCGTTGCTTGCGCGAAGTGCCGCAGGGCTCTGGCGCGAGCTCGTTAGACCGTGATGCAAAGGGTTTCAGGTCTGCGATATGGGCACGGCTGACTTTTTCCGTATGGGGATCTTTCAGCAAGTACGCGAGTGGAGTGCAAGCTTTCTCCACTCGGTACGGACCAAGCCACTTAGGAGCGAGCGAGGTTGAGAACCCCTTACTGGCATCGCTAAGAGCGTGGTTGCGCTTCAGGACAAGATCGCCCACCTCAAAAACTAGGTCGCGATGCTTGCGGCCATATTGGGCCTTCTGCTGAGCCCTGGCCGACGCCAAACTTTGCCTTGCTTTGCAGAAAGCTCGACAAAGCCTGTCCCGAAGTGCCGACGCGTAAGCAGAGCAGTCTGCCGGCGCCTCCTCGTCCTCGAGCTGGCATTTAGTGACGCTGGTCACCGGATTTGCCAACTCCCTTCCAAAATTTAAGAAGGCGGGCGAGAAACCAGTTGAGCGGCTCTCGGATGTTCGAATAGCGAACGCGAGCTCACTCAAATGGTCTGCCCAGTCCCTTTGACTTTCGGCAAAGGCCGCCAACATCGGTTTGAGCGTACGATTGACACGCTTCGTCAAATTAAACTGGGGATGGTAGGGTGAAGTGGTGCAGTGATCGATTCCGAGGGAACGGCACGTGACACCAAACACCCGAGCGGTAAAATACGAAGCATTGTCAGTGATGAGCCTTTCCGGGAAGCCGAACCGGCAAAACACTTCCTGCAGCTTCTCAAGCACCGCTCGCGCTGTCATCTTCCGAAGTGGGAAAAGTTCCACCCATTTCGAAAAGTGATCAACGACTACCATCAGGTGAATGAACCCCTGCTTACTTCTGGGAAATAGTCCCATTAGATCGCAGGTGGCCACTTGCGACGGATGCTCACTGACAATCGGTTTCATCAGACCGGGCGGTTTGCCACCCCTTGATTTCACCGTTTGACAGACGCGGCAAGAACGGCAATAGCGAAAAATGTCTTGCTTCATGCCGGGCCAGGCCCCGCCGCGGTGGTCTAGTAGCTAAGGTACTCGGCTGCTGACCCGCAGGTCGTGGGTTCAAATCCCGGCTGCGGCGGCTGCATTTCCGATGGAGGCGGAAATATCGTAGGCCCGTGTGCTCAGATTTGGGTGCACGTTAAAGAACCCCAGGTGGTCAAAATTTCTGGAGCCCTCCACTACGGCGTCTCTCATAATCAAATGGTGGTTTTGGGACGTTAAACTCCACAAATCAATCAATCATGCCGGGCCAGGTCACAACGCGGCTCTGTTTTGCAAAAACTTTCGAGCCACTCAGGTGACCGGCCATGGGTTCGTCGTGAGAGGATCGCAACAGTGCAGCTCTCAGACTTTTGGGCATAACCACTTTAAACGGGTCGACGGACTCGTCGTCAGTGGCTATATACTTCAGCAGGAGCCCGTCATGGTCCAGCAAATATGAATCCACCGGGGACTCCGACACATGCTGGTTCGAGTCCCCTATTCGCGCCCGCTGCAGGGCAAGCAGCGTCACGGTGCTCTGTCTCGTCGAGACAGTCGTTATCGGCACCCGCTGCAGGACAAGCAGCGTCACGGCGCTCCATCTCTCTGAGACCGTCGCACATTTCGCGACAAAACGGGTCACTTTGCTGGGCCTTCAGAAGCTCTTCTCTGCTGAAAGCGATGCCCATTCTCCCAAAATGGGGGAGTCTGGTATCGCGCCCACTCAGGACCGCAGCAACAACCGCTTGAGTTGGCGTTACGGGTTCGCTCTCGGCCTCGTGGCTTTCGGAACGCTCCCCCGCTCGGCTGCTTCACGGTGCGCCGCTTACCTGGTTAGCAGCCAAGGTTTGTCTGCATGGGGACTCACCCTTCTCGCCGAATGGCGGCGAAGCTGCTGTTTCGCCTCCGACGCTTGCATGTGCTAAGGCACGCTAGCGGCTGTCGCACCGGGATCAAGGTCCTCGGCCGACAATGGGGCACGAGATAGCGCGTCAGCTACCACGT